TGTTTATTGCCAACAAGTGATGTGTGAAAATCCCCTACTCTGGACCACATGATGGCGCTTTTAGCTTTGTCAGCATCAGCCATTCACTCCAATTTGGTCTTTTAAAAAATCACATTTGCTTGTCAACGTTTGTCCTTTCTTCTTAGCATCTGGCTCAAGAAACTTTCCTCCTTTAGACTTTTCAGAGCCTACATTTAACTAAAGAGGATTTATAAATGCAAGCATATGTCTCATGAGCACACTGCCTCAGAGCATCAAAACTGTATGTGGTCTCTTTTTGGCCACTAAATGGGTAAAAAAATTCTAACTCACAAGATGGGAAACATCACACTGCATTATAACCTAAACCATTCTAGGTCAATGCTTTGTCTAACAGGATATCAAGAGACATTGTGTGAAAAGTACTGCTGCTCTCCATGTCTTTAAGGATATATTTTAGATATTTTTTTCAGATCTCGAAGGACTAAAAAATCTTCAAGGCTTTTATGACTCCAAAGTCCTGATCAAAGAATGGGTGTTAAGAGTTTATCATGAATTTGTCTAAGTTGTTCTTTAGTCACTTATATACCTATATTGATTAGATAATAAACGTATCGTAGTATATAATGTCTTATAAATTTTAAGGGATATTACTAGGTTTTAGTATTTTTAAATTTATACTAGTGTTAACAATAATGAAAGATCAAATTCACTATTCTATTTTCAAAAAGTGTAAGACCAAGGTGTTACCAAAGAGGTCAACTTCAGATTGTTCAGGATATAATCTAAAATATCCTTGACTTTTTTTATAATTTAAAAACTGGTACAATCCTTTATCACCCTTCATCAAATTATTAAAGTCAGTAACTTTTTATTTTAAATTCTTAAATCAGATAGACTTTGCTATAAGGTAGTATAGTTCATCTAATCTTATGCTGATAATTTTCATTTTTATAAATAAGACATTTCCTTATCTAGAAAAAGTTCCACTACAGTAGCAGTGACTAAAGACACAACTGACTCACAACTGTTAAGTATTAGACCTAAAAGGAGCTAAATGCAACTTTCTACTTTTACAGATGAGGCTAAGTGAGGTCTAATGCTGATAAGAAGCTCTCCTATAATAAAACAATTAAAAACTTGAGCTACATTTAACAAAACTCTTCTTCAAACTGCAGATTAAGTGAGCTGTCACCAGCATTTTACAAAAGTGTAAAAATAACATAGGTGCTTCAGTAACTTTTTTTCCCAGTTATATACATATATCAGACCATAGTATATAATGCATTTATAACAGTGGTCAAACAGTTTAGAAATCATTGCAGGGCAGAGGATTTAGTTCAGTGGTTCCATTGCCCACCTTGCAAGTGCAAGGTCCCAAGTTCGATCCCTGGTACCAAAAAAAAAAAAAAGTCACTGTAGTAAGATATCCAATTCTTTGATTAGATTTAAAATTTTACTTTTATTTCAAAATTTATTCATTTACTATTATAATATTGTTACTTAGTATAATAACTAAGTTAAAATAAAATTTCTGCATTAAATAATAAAAAATACCGTTTTTTTGGTACCAGGGATTGAACTCGGGTCTTTGTGCTTGCAAGGCAGGTCACCAAACCACTGAGTTTAAAAAATACCATTTAAAACAAGCCCTATTTGGGGCTGGGGATTTAGCTCAGTGGTTTGGTGGCCTGCCTTGCAAGTGCAAGGACCGGAGTTCAATCGCCGGTACCAAAAAAAAAAAGTAAAACAAGCCCTATTTTCCTTTTTAAAAAAGACTGGTTCTGAACATTGTACCCTTTATCATCTATGAAAAGACTGATCTTTTAAGGGTCACATTTCTGCAGAGATTGTATGTATAACAAGTAAACAATCTTTCTCAAATAGCAAATTCTAGAATTCTGATCCTTAAAAAAAACAATGAAATAAACAAAAAAACAAAACCAAAACAATACCTAAAGAGTCTGTGAAGAAACAGTGACCTCTAGTGGACTCATAGAGCCATAATCCCTGTCCCTAATAATTTAGAAATTAAAGTAGCACTGATACATCCAGATAGAAAAGATACTGATATGGTTATTTTTTTTTTCCTCATTGAGTTTACTGGTACATTTTAGGTATACAGTACAGTTACATTCATCATTGGGATCTTGTACCTCTACATGACAGGTCTTGGTTCTCATTTTTTCCCCTTTTCCCTGCCCTCCCTTCACCCCCTTCTTCCCTCCCCACCTTTACAAACACTTCATTTCCATTTTTTCATTTTCTCCTATTTTTTTTCTTTTCCCTTATTAGCTTTCCCCTACCTTCCCACTTTCCCTATACCTTCAGTACCTTTCTTCCTATTTGATACTGATATGGTTATAAAGTGATGAGTATACAAAATTAAAGGCTACTGTTATATTATGTACAATGGGACAAATGTTTATTTATAAATTACTTACTAGTTTCTTCTAATCAAGTGGAAAATGCATAGAATCCTGACCTTATTCAGAATCTGTCACTAGCTTAAGAAAAACATTTAACCTTTCTGAGCTTATTTATGGGAGGTATTAGGTTAAATCTAGGGATTCTTTAAGCTCTTTATAATTACTCATATTTCCATTAAAATATTAATGTAAATTAATTCTTCTGTTAAGCCAACACCATATGAAGTTCTGCTCAAAAATATTTACTGGTTCCCCAGTACTTGAGAATATACCAAACTCAGCCTGGCCTCTTGTTACTTGGTTATTATTTTTTCCCTCAATATACAGAAATTTCCTGTAATCTTTGAGAGATACATTATAAGACTCCTGGGAATCTTATAATTTCAGGGATGCCTGAAACTGTGGGTAGTACCAAACCCTATACTATATAATGTGGTTTCTTTCCCCAACTTTTTTTTTTTTTTAAATAGTGACTAACAGGTAAGTAGTGTATATAGTGTGGATATATTTGAAAAAGGAATGATTCATGGTCTGGGCAGAAGAGATACAGATAGTATGAGATTTTTATTACTTAGAATGGTGTGAAATTTAAAACTTACAGTTTTGTTTATTTCTGAAAATTTCCATCTAATATTTTCAGACAACAGTTGACTGTGGGTAACTGAAACAACAGCAAGTGAAACCATGGAGAATGGGGGACTACTGTGTGCTTCTTGCAATTTTTCTCAATTTTGTTCACTATTTCTCATTTAGCAACCTCCTAATGTAACTTATATTACATGTACCCATTGGAGTTGGTAAAAAACTGTTCTGCCATCTCAAGTATTGTTAAACTCATGGGTTTTGTTTTGTTTGGTTTGTTGAGACAGGATTTCAGTATGTATTTCAGGCTGGCCTTGAACTCACTCACAACAATGCTACTGTCTCAGCCTCCAGAGTGCTGGGATTACAGGTGTGCACCACCATGAATGGGAACAGGTTGGTTTTATACATTTGTGTGTGTGTGCACACGCATGCGTGTGCATGCATACATCTGTGCAGCACCTGCCAGGAACTAGCACATAATGTACACTTTGGATGAAAATTTTTAGTTTAGATTATGCAAACTTCTTCAACTTTCGTTTTGGTGATGTAGGGAAGGATACAAATAAGTTAAAATTCTAAGAACAGTAAAAAAAGTGACAGGGTTTTAATTTCTGAGGAAAAGTAGGCATTCTGAACATAATATGGTGAGATTAGGAAAAGGTTAAGGTAAAAACTTAGCTAAAGAAGTACAAATAACTATGTCTGAAGTAAGAAGAGATGGCAGGAAAGGAAGTTTGGTAAATGGTTTTGGGCCACACAGTGGGTTAAATTTAATGAGTACAGGAGGTATCTTTGGAAAGAAAGTTAACAATAATTTTTTAAAAGCTTTTTTTGGTGGGGAATGGAATATATCACTATTGTAAGGCTGAGGCTGTAATGGGCATCTAGTGAAAGAAATATTAAAACATGAGAAAAAGTGAAAAGTAAAAAAGGAGCATAGCTTCCCAGTTACTTTGGGCAATGCAACAAACTTATAACCTCCAGATAAGAAAGTTGATGGTTATTTGTGAAATAAACAATTTATTCTTTATTATGTTCAATTCAGTTAAGGCCACAAGTGAGTTTTACATATGTGAAATCACAAAGGATTGGGTTGGCAGGCAAATATCTGCATCAAAGGTTCCGTCATCAGCACAGTTCAATAGATGCTAGTTGAATTTAGGGTGTCATATAATCTTCATCAGGTAAGAATTCAAGGTTTTATTTTTTTAGGCAAAGCTCTATAGTTAATTGCATCTCATTACTTTTTAGTCATTTATTTAGTATATATCTTCACTATATTCCCACAAGTAATACTGCCTTGTGTTATTATAATACTCTTTCAAATATGAATTATATGGGACATTATTTAACCTTACTAAGCCTTCGGGCTTTCTAGACAACATAGTCTAATTACCATAACAATTTTTGCTTTATTATAGAATAGTACCATTTCATTCTGAATAATGAATTTTTCCAAATTCAGGGCCTATTAAAATACTGCAGGTGTTTAAATATTTCCCAAGAGGCAAAATCTCTGTAACGATCATAAACTGTTTTTGCAAAACAATAACTACTTTATCTGGCTTTCTTTTAAGTTACAAAAAAACACTGTGCTAAGTTTAATAAAGATTAAAAGAGTTAGTAAAACTTTTTAACTTTAGTACATAGTTTCCTAACAAAGTGAGCTAAATTGGATTCCAAGACCTAGCATCTTCTGAAAAAGTTTAATATTCTTAACTCAGGATGATTAGATTATCAAGGTTCACAGACATTTCTGGCATAGCAGGAAGTCAAAATTAAAGCTCAAGTTTGGCGATTAAAGCTAAAACAATAAACATTTGTATGTATGAATTTTCTGACTTTAAGTGTAAAGTCCTTAATAACTACCCTTCAAATAGAACCATTTCCCCCAAAAGTGTGTAAAAAGCAATACTGTACTGAAAACTAGACCCTATTCTCAGTTTGCCTGAAAAAGCAGAAAGTATTACAATATATGAATAAATATATATAAGTGATTTAAATTACCTGTCTTCTTCTCGAACCCATACTGGAGTTTTGGGAATTTGTGCTTCAAAAAACTTAGATGCTTTGTAACAAAAATTGCTGCAAAAAGACTAAAGAGAACATGTTAAAATTATTTTTTCTTTTATGAAACATAACCTACATAGAGAAGAGAGTATAAAAACACATATGTGTAGTTCAAAGGACAAAAACCCATGAATCTTCTATTACCTATGGCCAGAAATAAGATACAGTACCTGTGAAGACTCTTATATGCTCCTCCCTAACAGTACAGCTCTCCAAATGTCCCAGAGGTAAGCGCTACCATAAATTTGGTGTTGATCATTCCCTTGTCTTTAGCTTTACCACCTATTATATTCCTTTTTTTTTTTAAGAGTAGGAAGTATTTATTGAGAGGGAGAAAGCTTCTAAGAGAGACAGAAGGGGAACTGGAAAATGGGTTGCCCCACCCACTATATATTCCTATAAAACAGCATTCAGTTTTGCCCATTTTCCAACTTTATCTAAATGGACTAGCATTATTAGGTATTCCTGCCTTTTTCTCAAAAAGATGTTTTTAAAATTCACATAAGTTATTCATATAGCTTATTTATTTTCACTGTATATTATATTCCATTGTATTAGTATATTACTTATTTATGAACAATTGAGTTGTTTCTAGTTTTTTGCTATCACTTCAGTGTTACTTATGAAGTGAATGATTATTAAAATTTTGATAAAATATACATAGTATGGAATTTGCCATTTGAACCATTTTTAATTGTATAGTTCAGTGACATTAAGTTCATTCTGTTACATCACTACTAGCATTCATTTTTGGAAGTCTCTGCATCTTACAAAACTGAGCATTATACTCATTAAACAAAACCCCTGCATTTCCCATTCACTGACAAACACCATTCTGCTTCCTGTATAAATTTTACTACAGTAGGCATTTAAGTAGAGACAAATATTTGTCCTTTTGTCCTGGCTTGTTTTATTTAGTGCAATGTCTTCTACGTTCATCCATACTATAACATGTGTCAGACTTTTCTTCCTTTTAAGATTGAATGATATTTCAATGTATACATATACTACATTGGCTAATCCAGCTATGAAAATTCTTACACACGTAGTGTACATAGGAAAGAAATTTTTTGAGTTTCTGTAAGGTATATACAAAGAAACAGAAAAGTATGCTCATAAAGAATGTGCGAAGTTTCTGGGGATATAGCTCAGTAGAAAAGCACTTGCCTAGCACGCTTAAGGTCCTAAGCTCAATCTCCAGCACAGCAAAAAAAAATAAAAAGTAGTACTTAATATTGTTATATTAATCATTCAAATTAATTGTATAAAAGTTTCTTATTAATTTGTCTCTCTCTCTCTCTCTTTTTTTTTTTTTTTTTTGTACCAGGGATTGAACTCGGAACTCTGCACTTGCAAGGCAGGCAGTGGTACCACTGAGCTAAATCCCTGGCCCAATTTGTCTCTTCATTATATACTCTCAATATGGATCTATGGTCAATTATAGGTGGGAAACATAACTTCTTACCTCTGGCTTATCTTTTCACTTTTTGGAAACCTCTAATAAATTAAAGTTTTAAATTATAATGTAGAAAATTTAACAGTTTTTCTTCCATGGTTTATAATTTTCTGTCTTAAGAAATCCTTGTCTAAGTTTATATTCATCCATATTATTTTCAAAAAAGGTCTGCCTTTTACATTTAATTCTTTAATGTGGCTACTTGGAATACAAAGTGAGATGGGGGTCATTTTCTTTTTCCCACCTGGATACGAACTGTGCCAGGCAGCCCTTCCTTTCCCCACTGACCTTACAGTACTTCCACTGTCATGTATCAAATGAATCCACAGATGTGGTGAACCATTCCTGGATCGTGTTTTATGATTCACTTGCCTACGTTTGTGCCAATATGCACTTTAAGTTTTTAAATATCCAAGTCTTAAAGCTTAAGCAAGGAATTATTTTTAGTACTACTTTGACTCAAGTACTTATACATAGAAACAAATTTTTAATGTGATTCTTTTCTACCAGACAAGTTTTATTTTTGAATTCTATTTATTATATTAAAAATTAACTGTCACATTGAAAGTAGCCTTTGAACTTACCTTTCTTTCAGTAATATCATAAACTTTATTGGTTTTGGTAGAAATTTTATATTTCTGTTTTGGTACCTAAAGAAAAAAAAAGTTTAGCTTACAAAAGAATCTGAGTAACAAAAATGAACTTAAGACTCTGTATCACATTTTGGCCAATCCATGTCATTAATAACTTCACATTTCATTTCCTGTTCCTTCTACAAAATATTTTGCTAAATTAAAAAAAAGGCCTACATTTTTTAAAAGTAGTACTTACGATGCCCAGCTTTTTCTGACACAAAGGATAACCACAGAACTTGACAATTGAACGTTCAACCACAACATCGCTATAGTGAGCAGGTGTGATGAACTTCCCCTATAATGAAATCAGAATGGCATTTACTCTCAGATTAATGGAAAAGGTCATATATTAGCACTGTAACCCTTATGAATCTCATCTGAAAATACAGGGACAATAATAGTACTTACTTCCCTGGAGATGGTGGCACACACCTGTAATCCCAGCCTTTGGGAGGCAGAGGCAGGAGAACTATTGCAAGTTCAAGGCCAGCCTGGATTACATAGCGAGTTCAAGGCCTATAATGAACTACGTAGTGAGACCCTTTCTCAAAAAAAAAAAAAAAAAAAAAAAAAAAAAACTACCTCATAACTCTAAGGTTAAAATTAAGAGAAAATAAAGGAAAAGTATATCAAAAATGTCACAGCAGATTGGGCATCTTTGCATATTACACAAAGTTGAAATAAATATGGGGCATCAGGAAGAAGTGGTGTTATAAATATCCCAAAACTAAATAATGACAGTATCTTCTATTTTTAAACAAGTAAATCTCAAAAAATAGAATTTTATCTATTTTTAGAGAATAATTTTTCAAAAAACAAAGCATATACAAGGTGCCATTATGACTCCTGAACAAAATTTTGTGCAAAAATCTTCCTGGTGTTTTAAAAAAATTGTGGAGAATAAGATAAAGGTAATAATGGTAAACTAATACCAATTATATTCTTTTGACATCTTCATGTTTAAATAATCCCAATTCTTGTTTCATAACTTTGAAATCTTTTTAAACAAGGTACTTTTCCTATTCTTATAGGGCCTAACTACTCTAGTGAGAGTGAAAAATTTTGTTTCAAATGAAACATTTCTAGTTTGTTTTCTTTGTTTTTTGTTTTGGGGACACCAGGGATCAAACCTGGGGCCTTGCACTTGCGAGGCAGGCGGCAGAACTACTGAGCCAAATCCCCAGCCCCAGGTCTGCTTTCTTTAATATCATTATATACAGATTCTGATGCAGTTATCTACCAACTTAAAACATATTCTTCTTGCTTAGAAGTCTCTGAACCATATTAAGAATTATTTTTGCAATAAAAGCTGTTTTAATTTTTTCTTAAGGATAATATAAAAGACATTTTGCCATTCATTCAAAATTTTAAAATAAAGAAAAGGTTAAAAAAGTTGTAATTCTGTTCTAAGTCAAAGTACATTTCAAGTATTTAAAACATCCAAATTAATGAAATAACATTAACATCTGCTAAAACAGCAAAAAACAGATGATTAGAAAATTGACAATTGTGATTACTATTGCAAAGGGAGGAAAATCAAGTGACACAGCAGACTAAAAGAACAACTAAGAAATAAAATAAATGTACATTTAAAAAAATTTTTAAATTAAAAATTTATTTCAATTCACAATTATATATATTAATGGGTACCATATAATGTTTACACACACACACACACACACACACACACACACACACACACACACAATGTGGAATGAGCAAATCAGATTATAACACGGCCATTGCCTCACATGCTTCCTTCTTTTAGGTGAGATGATTTAATCTCAGTAATTTTAACATATACATTACTTTTAACAATAGTCATCTTGTGTACTTGTTTTCTCTTTTTTTAATGCATTTTAAAATCATTATACAAGTAATATGGTAATTGCTTATTTCAAAATGCATGATTTAAAGCCAGGCGTGGTGGCACACACGTGATTCCAGCACTCAGGAGACTGAGGCAGGAGAATCTCATGAGTTCCGGCCAGCAGGGACTATATATTGAATTCAAGGCCAGCCCGAACTACATAGCAAGACCAGGTCTCAAATCCATGATTTATACAGCATGTACTGGCATCTAAAGACTGAAAATAAACTTAAGACTTCAATAATACAAAATCATCTCGTTTTGCAGAGATTTAAAGATGTTATACTATAAAACTAATATGTCAATACATACACATTCCATTAAAAATTCTTCTGTGATATTCTCTTCTAACAGTTGTTCAACAATATGCAGAGCTTTTCTTTCAAACTCAATCTTCTTTTTCACAGCTGCTTCTAGTTCTGCTTTCCTAAAATTTTAATAAAAAGTTAATTTACTGTATAAATTTTGTCTCCAACATTCCACATTTTAAAATCCAGCAATAACCTAACAATTATATTTATAGTTTTTGATGCTGTTACCTTTTTTCCTGGTACCCAGGATTGAACTCAGGACCTTGTGCTTGGAAGACAGGCAGGGGCACCACTGAGCTAAATCCCTGGCCCAATGCCGTTACTTTTAACCAATATTTTTCAAAAAAGAAAAAAGCTACTGGCTGAGCACCACCATCGCTCCAGCACCAGGATGGCCTGCTTGGGCCACCACCAGAAGGATAGCCATGCCCTCTCCTGCCGGGCGGAATCACTCCAGCACCAGGAAGGTAGCTGCATGGGCGCCCCTGAACCCCCACAACTCTCAGACCTCCTGATTGTGCCAGTCTTTGGACCCACTCTGCAGAGGCAGAGGTGGTCATAAAGCGTATTTTTCTGACTACCCAACTTTCAAGAAAGGGCCTGGGAAACCTGTAGTAGAACGGTGTGGAGTTCAACCGTTCAAGAGGTTGGGGAACTCAATCTGGGCCTTGCAGCCAGAGGTCAGTCTGCATCATGGGGTTCTGGATCAGCTAGCTGAGATCAGGTGTCTTGGTTCTGCACATGGCTGTGCATGTTGTATGACAGCAGAGATATAGTCTGAAAGAGGCCCTTCAAATCCTTCTTTTTTCTTTCTTTTCCTCATTCCACTCTGCAAATTCTTTCTTTTTTCTGTCCTCTTTCTCCAACTCAGTCTCTTGCTCCACCATATTATCCCTCATCTCCCTTTCTGTTTCTGCTCCTGCCCTAACTCACATTTCTTCTTTTATCATTTTTTTCTCTTTTCTTTATGTTCTTTTCTTCTGTCATTCTACCTCACACAGGGGTCAGTGGTTTCAAGGGAAAGCGAGCCCCTATTACTGTTAAGGGGAAGTATTCTTGTCCTTGTACTTCTACTCTGTCTATCCCTTTCGAAATCAACAGTTTCCTAAATATTGTGTGGTCATTCTATGTCCTCTGGCTGCACTTGAAACCTTCTCCAATTCTTTTACTTATCTACTCCTCTTGTCCTAGCTCTGTCTGAGACCCCATCCTAAATGGTAAATATACTACGTTGAAAAGTTTGTTCACTGCAGACATGTTCTGGACTGCTTCTTGATTTCAATTTAATTCACTTGGTTTAAGGGTGATAGACTAGTGACTATAACAAGTCGTTGGTTTCCAAGTTGTGCTTGATCATATTGTGTTGCTAATTGCATCAGCTGGGATAAAGGATTGTGGTTGATTTGATGAGCTGTTTTCTCTAATGTTATGAAGATGAGAATGTCTGCGGGTTGTTAGAGACCCAGAAGCTAGGACACAACTATATCAGGAAGATTTGGGTGATAACCCAGAGATTAAACCAAGGACAGCCCAACAACAAAAATAAAAATGAGAAAACACTTAAGCAAGACACAAAGACAGACTTCCAGTTCACCAACGGCATGTAAAAGAAGGGCAAATGAGGATGAAAAGTCTGATAGTGAACCACCAGGACAACCTGAACTCAAAGCACAGGAAGTAACAAAACAGATCAGGCTCTAGAAAAATTTAAAACATTAATAATTTCCCAAATAACCACAGAGATGGTGAGCAAAATGAAAGTCATGATTCGAGACTCTAGAGCAGAAACTGACAAAAAAATAGATGAGCTCAGGACCATGACAGAAGCCTTGAAGGCCCAGCATAAGAAAGAAATGGAAACAATAAACACCCAATATAGGAAAGAAATGAGTCGATAAAACAGATTCAAACAGATATCCAGGAGATTAAACACTCTAGTGAAAGTGTACACAATGGAATAAAAGAATGCGAAGAAAGAATCTCAAATATAGAAGATAATGTTGCAGTCAGTGACCGTGAAAAGAGAGGTCTCTTAAAAACAGTAGGGGATCATGAGAAATTGATCCAACAACTCCTAGATGATGCAAAGAAGAATAACATAAGACTGATAGGAATCCATGAAGTAGCAGGAGAAAATACAAATGACTTAAAAAAGCTGTTCACAGAATTAATGACAGAAAACTTCCCAAACAGAAGGGAAGAATTTGACATTCAGATAAGTGAGGCATACAGGACCCCAACTAGCCACAATTAAAAAAAAATCTACACCTAGACATATAATAATCAGGATCCCAGAAATCCAACAAACAACAAAATACTACAAGCAGTAAGAGAAAAGAAACAAATTACATGCAAAGGAAAGCCCATCAGAATCACGGCAGACTTTTCAACACAAACCATTAAGTCAAGGAGAGCCTGGAGTGAGATATTTCAAGTACTAAAAGAAAACAACCTCCAACCTAGACTGATGTAGCCTGCAAAACTCTCTTTCAAAATGGACGGGGAAATAAGATACTTCCACGACAAAGAACACCTGAGAAACTGTATGCATACCAAACCAGCACTACAAGCAATTCTAAACAATATCCTAGAAAAAGACAATGAAGGTAACAACACCATGAGGCCCAACATAGCAAATCAAATAGGCAAGGCAAGAAACTAAAAGGAGGGCTGGGGATTTAGCTCAGTGGTTCCACTGCCTGCCTTGCAAGCACAGGGACCGGAGTTCGATCCCTGGTACAAAAAAAAAAAAAAAAAAAAAAAAAGAAGATGAAAAAGTAAAAAGTCAACAAAAGGCCAATAACATGACAATAATAAGTCAGTACATATCAGTTATAACCATCAATGTCAATGGCCTCAACTCACCAATCAAGAGAAACAGACTGCCAGAATGGATTAAGAAGCAAAATCCAACAATATGTTGTATACAAGAAACACACCTAGTGCAAAAAAATCCCACAGACTGAAAGTGAAAGGATGGAAAACAATTCTCCATGCCACAGGAGCCCAGAAAAAAGCAGGGGTAGCAATCTTATTTGCAGACAAAGTAAATTTCAAACCAAAACTGATTAAAAAGAGGCAAAGAAGGCCACTACATCCTTGTAAAAGGGAAAAATTCAAGAGGAAGAGATGACAATCACAAACATATATGCTCCAAATACTAATGCCCCCAACTATATTAAAGAAATATTAAGAAACATGAAAAACCAAATAAGCACTAATACAATTGTAGTGGGGGATCTAAATACCCCACTTTCACAAATAGATCATCTAGGCCAAAAGTCAACAACAAAATGCTAGAATTGAACCAAGCTTTTGAAAGCATGGATTTTAATTGATGTTTATAGTGTTCCACCCCACAAAATCAGAATATACATTCTTTTTGGATGCACATGGGTCATTCACCAAGATAGACCACATACTAGCTCATAGAACAGGTTTGAATAAATGCAAAAGAATCGAAATTATTCCCTGTATATTATCAGATCATAGTGCAATCAAGCTGGAGATCAACAGCACAAGAAACCATAGGAACTTCACAAACAAATGGAAATTGAACAACACTCTCCTGAACTATCAATGGATCACAGAGGAAATTAGATGATTTTTACAAATAAATAAAAATGCCAATACAACATACAGGAATCCATGGGACACAATGAAAGCAGTTCTATGTGGAAAATTCATAGCACTGAATGCCCACACTAGGAAAACAAGCGAGCTCAAATAAATAACCTAATGATGAATCTTAGACTCCTAGAAAAACAAGAGTAAGAAAAACCCAAAGCTCGTACATGAGAAAAAATTATAAAGAGCAGAAATCAATGCAATGGAAACTAACAATACAAAAAATAAATGAATCGAAGAGTTGGTTTTTTGAAAGAATAAATAAAATTGATAAACTCTTAACTAACCTTATCAAAAAAAGGAAAGAAAAGGCTCAGATCCCTGCAACTAGGAATGAAAAAGATGAAGTCACAACAGATCCAACAGAAATCCAGGGATAATCAACACCTACTTTGAGAACCTGTATTCTAACAAAATGGAAAACACAGAAGAAATGAAGAGATTTCTAGATACTTATGAATTACCAAAGTTGAACAAAGAAGATAAAAACATTTTAAACACCCCAATTAAAATCAATGAAGTTGAAAATGTAATTATTTACCAACAAAGAAATGGATTCACATCAATTTTTTTGATGGATTCACAGCTGAATTTTGCAAGACATTTAGAGAAGAACTACTGCCTTTACCCTTCAAACTTTTCAATGAAATTGAAAGGGAAGTAATACTTTCAAAATCATTCCTGGAAGCAAGTATCACTTTGATTCCCAAACCAGGGAAATATGCAACTAAAACAGAGAACTACAGGCCAATCTCCTTAATGAATATAGATGCAAAAATCCTTAATAAGATAATAGCAAAGAGAATACAGAGGATCATCAAGAAGATCATACATCCTGACCAAGTTGGATTTATTCCAGGGATGCAAGGATGGTTCAACATAAGTTAAGTCAATAAATGTAATACACCATACTAACAGAGTCAAGGACAAAAATCATATGATCCTCTCGATAGATGCAGAAAAAGCATTTGACAAAATTCAACACCCAGTCATGATAAAAACCCTGCAAAAAATTGGAATAGATGGTCTATATCTCAATTTAATAAAGGCTATGAAAAGCCAAGAGCCAACATCATATTAAATGGCCAAAAACTGTAAACCTTCACATTAAAATCAGGAACAAGACAAGGATGCCCACTATCACCACTCCTCTTCAATATAGTTCTGGAATCATTAGCCATAGCAATTAGACAAGAGAAAAAAATTAAAACAATAAAGATAGGAAAGGAAGAAGTTAAATTGTCATTATTTGCTGACGATATGATACTCAACATTGAAGACCCAAAAAAACTGTACCAAAAGACTTCTAGACTTAATTGACACTTTTAGCAGAGTAGCTGGATACAAGGTCAACACCCAAAAATCAATAGCCTTGTATGCAAATGCAAACAGAGTCACTGAGAGAGAAATTAGGGAAACAATTCCTTTCACAATAGCATCCAAAAAAATGAACTATCTGGGAATCAATCTAATGAAAGAAGCAAAAGAC